GTTGTGCGTTGTGTGTGTGGTGTGTGTGCTGTGTGTGCTGTGTGTTGTGTGCACTGTGTGCACTGTGTGTTGTGTGCTGTGTGTTATGTTGTGTGGATGTTGTGAATTGTGCGTGGTGTGTGTTGTGTGTGTTGTGTTGTGTGTTGTGTGTTGGGTGTTTTGTGTTTGGTGTGATGTGTGTTCGATGTGCTGTGGTTTGTGTGTTTTGTTTTGCGTGTTATGTACGATGTGTCTGTTGTGTGTAGTGCGCGTGTGTTGTGTGTGGTGTGTGTATTGTGTATGTTGCGTGTACTGTGTGTGTTGTGTGTGGTGTGTGTGTGTGTGTTGTGTGAGCTGTGTGTTGTATGCTGCGTTATTGTGGTGTGTGTTGATGCTGTGTGTGTTGTGTTGTGTGTGTTGTGTGTTGGGTTGTGTGTTGTGTGCTAGGTGTGTTGTGTCTACTGTGTGTTGTGTGTTTTGTGTGCCGTGTGCGTGTTGTGTCGTGTGGGTGTGTTGTGTGTTATGTGTGGGTTGTGTCTGTTGTGTATCATGTCTTGCGGGTGTGCTGTGTGTTGTATGGTGTGTGTTGTGTGTTGAGTGTGGTGCGTGGTGTGTGTGTGTGTGTTGTGTCTGTTGTGTGTGGTGTGTGTGTGTGTTGTGTGTTGTGTCAATTGTTTGTGTGGTGTGGCGTGTGCTGTGTGTTGTGTAATGTGTGTTGGGTGCTGTGTGTTGTGTGTTGTGTGTGTTGTGTGTGTGTTGTGTGTTGTGTGTGTTGTGTTGTGTGTTGTGTGCAGTGTCTGTCTGTGTTGTGTGTTGTGTGTTGTGTGCTCTGTGTGGTGTGTGGTGTGTGGTGTGTTGTGTGTTGTGAGTGGTGTGTGTGGTGTGTGCAATTGTGTGTGTGTGCGTGTGTCTGTCGTGAGCGTGTGCGTGTGTGCGTGTGTGCGTGTGTCTGTGTGCTTGTGGTGTGTGTGTGTGTGTCTGTGGTGTGTGTGTGTGTGCGTACGCCTGTGGCGGAGAGGAGGACCCACTTCCGAGGGCACGATCGATCAGCATCGACTCGGCACTTCTGGTCGGATCAGGATGTGCTTCGGATCGGCTGCCTTGGCACGGAGTCGAGATCGAGCGAGATCGGCTGCGCCTGGAGGCACAGCAACGCCATGCAAGCATCAAGACGCATCGGATCGTCGGAATCCCACCAGCCCTCTGGGCGTGAGTGGTTTAGAGCGTATCCTCTTCCTTCTTCCCTCTTCCCCTTCGGGGAGGGGTTTATCACTGCTCCTTATAAATATTCACCCCCTCCCCCACCCTACTGTGGGCCAACCCGAAACATGCCAACGCCCCCCACCATCCTTGTCAGAAAACAATACAGAATGCGCTTTGCCTCCAAATCTGGAGCATACGCGGGCGCCCCGCGACCACTTTGCATTGGATGTTGACAAGGACGGCCGGGGTGTCGTCATACTGCTCGCTGCGCGCAGGCCAGCCATCCCTGCAAAAAACCAATACAGAATACAGTTTGCCTCCACATCTGGAGCATGCGCGAGCGCCCCGCGACCACTGAGTATTCAATTTTGACAGGGACGGAAGGGGGGGTCGGCACATTGCTCGCTGCGCGCAAACCAACAATCCTTATCAAAAGCAATGCAGAACACAATTTGCCTCCACATCTTGAGCGTGCGCGGGCGCACCGTGGCCACTGAGCATTGGATGTTGACAAGGGTTGCGGGGGGGCCGCCATATTGCTCGCTGCGCGCAGGCCAAACCATCCCTGCCAAACAAAAACATACAGAATGCACTTTGCCTCCACATCTGGAGCATGCGCGGGCGCCCCGCGACCACTGAGCAGTGGATTTTGACAGGGACGGAGGGGGGGGTCGGCATATTGCTTAAGCGTGGAGCACGTGCCGCACCTGGAGCGCCTGGCCTGCTTGGGCCTCCAGGGTGCCTGGTGCACCTGGAACTCGTGGCGCACATGGCATGCGTGGCGCTCCTAAGCAATATGCTGAGACTCCCTCGGGTGTTACGTATGTGCTGGGATGGAGGGTGGGAGTGAGCGAGACGGCTTGTGGACGAAGGGGGGGCCTCGATCACTGCTCCCCATAAATATGCACCCCCTCCCCCACGTGACCGGCAGCCAACCAGGAACACTGAGGACACCATACTCACCCCCCAACTATCCCTCACCAAAACAATACAAAACGCACTCTGCCTCCACATTTGGAGCATGCGCGGTAAAACCGATGCGGTCCCCCCCCACCATCCATGTCAAAAACATACAGAGTACACTTTGGGGCAAAGTCTTGAGTCATGTTCGTGAGGCCCACGAGCACTTTGTATTTTTTTGACAGGGACGGCGGGGGTGTAAGCATACTGCCTGCTGTGCGCACGGCTACCATCCCTGGCAAAAAAAATAGAAACTGCACCTCGCGGCTAAATCTGGGTCATGCGCGGTCACCCCGCGATCACTGTCAAGTGTTGTTTGACAGGGACGGCGGGGGTGATGGCGTATGGCCTGCTGTGCGCAGGCCCACCTGACATGATTATGGGCAGTAGTTTTCAACAAGGATGGTGGAGAACGACATGTTTCCCGCTGTGTGCTGTCACGTGCGCAGGCGCACCTGACACACGCTGCGGGTGCCCCGAACGTGGTGCACCTGGCGCGGCTGGAGTATTCAGCACACCTGGCGCACGCAGAGCACGTGGCGCATCTGGCGCACCAGGCGTGCCTGGCACTCTCGGGCCCCAGGGGTGCCTGACGCGCGTGGCGCGCCTGGCACGCGTGGCGCACCTCGCCCAAGCGTCGCGCACATGGGATCGGTTTTGGTTCCCGGTACCTGTTCATTCAAAGACGACCGCTGAACATGCTCCGGCTCGGTTGTTACTTATGTGTTGGGAGCGCGGGTGGGAGTGAGCTCGACGGTTTGCTATCTAGGGGGACGCCTTGACACCTCCCCTACCTCCCCTGGGTCTGGAGGGGGTGGGGTCGCGACTGAGTGGACAAGCCAAAACGGCCTCGGCGAGAAGGCAAAAATCACCGATTCCCCAAACAATGCTTGCACTTAGGGGTTCATACTTGTTACTGAGGGACTGGGCCTGTCTGTCGGTGCGGCGGCTATGTTGCCGCCGTCGTCGCCTCATCGCCGCCCCGTCGCCGCCTCGTCGCCGCCCGTCTTCTGGGCGTCTGTCGGTCGCCGAGCTTGCTGCCGTCGTCGCCGCCCCGTCGTCGCCCGTCGTCTGGGCATGTCTGTCTGTCGCCGCGCTCGCTGCCGCCGTCGCCGCCCCGCCGCCGCCCCACATAGCTTGCACCACATAGATTGCATAGTATAGAGTGCACAACAAAGGTTGCGCGCCTCGTGAAATCGCACAACATGGATTGCACCACATTGATTGCACCAAACAGATTCGACCGCATACTTTGCACAACATAGATTGCACACCATACATTGCACAACATACATGGCACCAAATATCATGTGCCACAGATATTGCTCCACACAGATTACAACACATGTGTTGCACCTCATAGATCGCGCAATTTGTATTGCACAACCTAGATTATACAGCCTAGATTGCAACACCTAGATTGGTCCAAATAGGTTGCACAGCGTGTATTGCACAATATTGCACCGCATAGGCAGCACAGCATGGATTGCACAACAGGGGGTGCACAGCACGTATTGCAACACATAGGTTGTTTCATCTATATTGCAACACATCGAACGCACCTGGAGTGCACAACATAGATTGCACGCCGTATATTGCACAACAGAGAGTGCACCACATAGGTTGCACCACATGGGTTGGCCCACATATATTGCACAGCGTATATGGTACCTCATGGCTCGCACCACTTGTACGACACACCATAGGTTGCACAACGTGGATTGCTCATCATAAGCTGCAGCACACAGTGCTCCACATGGATTACTCACCATATAATGCTAGAACCACACTGTGTTGAGTCCACGCTGGCTAACATTACATGTAGGTATTGGGCCTATTTGGGCGTCCTGGGGGGGGGGCAATATGGTACCCCCCGTCTCTGATCGATCTCCCCCAATAGGGCCCCACGATGGCCCCCAACGCTCCCAAGAGCGCCCCAAGAGGGCCTCCAAAGGCGCCAGGCGCCCAGGAGGCCCCAAGGGTCCCCTAAGAGGCCCAAGAGGTTTCCAAGAGGCTTCCAAGAAACTCCTAAGAGACTCCTGAGAGGCCCCCTCGAGGCACCCAAGACGAGCCAAGAGACCCTGGACAGCCAAGAGGCCCCCAAGACGCCGCAAGATGAATGCAAGAAGCGTTCAGGAGACATCCGAAGAGACTCCGAGAGGCACCCCAAGAGGCCTCTAGCCATTCTCCTCGCCCTCCTCCTCCTCCTCCTCCTCCTCCTCCTCCTCCTCCTCCTCCTCCGCCTGTTCCTCCTTCTCACTCCTCCCTGCCCCCACCTTCCCCTCCTACTCCTCCTCCTCCTCCTCCTCCTCCTACTCCTCCTCTTCCACCTCCTCCTCCTCCTCCACCTCCTCCGATTCCTCCTCCTCCCTCCCCCTCTTGGGGTACGACGGCTCACCCAGCCCGCCCGTTATTCCATGGCGTGCTCCTACACATCCCCGATCAAAGCAACTCGCCTGGGCATCTTTTCTGGATGGGCTGGCATATAGGAACTGGATCGGGTCGAGACATCTGGAGTCGACTTCGAATCGATCGATCGGAACAGAATGGACCCTAGAGGGCAACCCATGCTCCAGACTTTGCCCGTCGGCGGCGAGGCAGAGGCGGTCCGCTCCAGCGTGTGGCAATTCGGGGCAACCGAACGGCAAATTGGCCGGCATGCGAGAGATTGAAAATGACCAGGGCGGCCGCGCAAAGGGAGGAGGAGGAGGGAAGAGCACTCAGACGTGGAAGCATTCCGCTTTCAGCGGGTCGGGGCGGCCAGCCGTGGCAGCGGTGACCGTGGCAGCAGCCGGGCCAGGGCGAGGGCGCGCCCGCGGGCGCTGCCAGGGCTCATTGACGATGTCTTTTTTGTTCCTTCAGGCGCCGAAGCTCCAGGCTCGCAGCCGGAGCCGCTCGAGGGCCCGGTCCAGCCGGTCGGTGGGCAGGTAGCCCCCCAGCAGGTCGCAGCGGGCGAACAGCCGCTCCACGAAGTGGCCCGCCAGCGGGAAGGCGGTGTCCGTGGGACCCAGCCGCTCCTCGGCCACCAGGGCCACGCGCCCGCCAGGCTGGTCCCGCTCGTCGACCAGGCACAGGCAGAACGGCTGCGCCTCCCCCCGCGGCAGCTCGGCGGCACCGTGCCTGGCGCGCCACGCCGCGGGGGCGGGGCACCACGGCTCGCAGCTCAGGACGACGACGCGGTGGCCATGCGCCGCGTGCACCGCGCACGCCCCGGGGACGAGCCAGCGCCCGCGCAGCAGCCGCTCCGCGAGCTCGCCCGGCACCGTGCCCAGCAGGTCGGCGTCGCCGTCGCGCCATGCCGCGAGCAGCGAGCCGCGCTCCTCGAAGCGGAAGGCCGCCGTCGCGGCGGCGATCCGCTCCCAGACACGCGAGCGCTGGGCCTTGTAGGACTCGAACGCTTCCAGCCACCGCAGGTCGCCCACGCCGTCCGGGACCCACCGGGCCCACCTCCTCCTGGCCCCGTTGGGGAACCTCCACGCGGGCAGCAGCGCCGTGCCCCCGAGCCGGCCGCCGCGCAGGACGAGGCCGCCGCTGCGCTCGAGCAGGGGGAATACTTCCTCGGGCGCGTCGCTGAAGGAGGCCTCGAGGCCGCTCACGTGGATCCGCAGGCCCACGTCGTCGCCCCACTGCCCCTGCAGCGTGCGCGCCAGCTGCCCAAGCCCTGGCCCAGACATCCAGCTGCTCCAATTCTTTCAATGCCTGGGCCCCAGAAGTCCGGACCACTGCTCCAATAGGGCTGGTTTTTCGTCCCGAGTCGTTTTGTTTTGGCGCTCCCGAAGCCGGGCGAACGCCCCCAGAGGCCTGAAACGGCCCAAAACCGCCTGCTCCCATGTTTCGTTGGAGCGTCGGATATCCGGAACGCCGCTCACCGCCCCGCCGTGGCCAGGCTCCAGCGTCGGCGCGCCCGCGCAAGCCCTCCGAGCCGCCGCCGCCGCCGCCGCCGCCGCCGCCGCGCGGGGCCTCCGCGCCGGCGCGGCGAGGGCGCGGGGCGCCCGAGCCCGCAGGCAGGACATGGCAGACGCGGACCAGACGAGGAAAGACGAGCCGGGGGGGGAGGAGGAGGAAGGAGGAGGAGGAGGAGGAGGAGGAGGGAGGAGGAGGGAGGAGGAGGAGGAGGAGGAGGAGGGAGGAGGAGGAGGAGGAGGAGGAGGAGGAGGGAGGAGGAGGAGGAGGAGGAGGGGAGGAGGAGGAGGAGGAGGAGAGGAGGAGGGAGGAGGAGGGGAGGAGAAGGGAGGAGGAGGAGGAGGAGGAGGAGGAGAGGAGGAGGAGGAGGAGGAGAGAGATGAGGAGGAGGAGGAGGAGGAGGAGGAGGAGGGGCCGCGCAGGGGGGCGGGCGGCCGGCGGAGGGCTGGCCGGAGGCCGCGGAGCAGCGCCTCGAGGGCCAAGGCTGCTCCGGGTTCCGTATAACGAGCCTCGGACTTGTCCCTATCCCTGAGATTGACACGCCAAAAGGCGATGACAGTCTTAGGGATGCACCCTCAGAAACAGAGGGAATCCCTAAGATCGCCATCGTGACGAGGCGATGCCCAACAGAGGGATAGGGATAGGTTCCAGGCGGGTAATTACAACGAGCGTGGGTGGGTACTCCGGGCCCCTGGGCCCTCAGGTAGCGATCCTGGCGCAGAGAGATGGGGTCGGGGGCTCCAGACGTGTGATCTTTCACGAGGCTGCGCTTTTTCCCGCTGCGTCGGATCTCGGTGACACAGCAAGGTCCTGCCAGAGGCTCGGGTCCGTAGCAGGAGGACAGTGTAATGCGTTGTCTCGCCCACGCGCCAGTGGGCATACCCTGGGTTTCTCAATTAGCGTGGGGGGGTGCCCCCCCGACGGGGGTCGACCTCGCCTCTTCGTCGCGCTGCGACGGGGGTCCGAGCGCCTTCGGCGCGTGGTGGCTGCCCGCGCCGGGGGTCGATGTGGGGCTGTCGGCGGGGGGTGACGCCCCCCCGACGCTTGTTAGAGAACTCGGAGTGCCGTCCCTTGCTCCAGACATGCCAGGAGGACATGGGGCACGATGAACAGGACACAGGAGTACCCAAGACTTCGCAGAGACGACCTGCTAAGCAAGACCAGGCCAGGCAGTCGGGGCCCATCGGGAGGATAGTACGAGGCAAGGAATGAAGACGCACTTGTGCGCCCTGGTTGCAGCAGCTGGCCAGCGAGATCGGCTGGCCCAAGACCCCAAAGCAACCCAAAAAAGGCAGGGTGCCCTTGGCAAAGCATGACATCCTCATTGGAACCCCGGCTGCTTCCAGACGGCGTGAGGAGAGCGCCCATCGCTCGGAAAGAGCGGGTAGAAGCATGAATCGAGGCGGTGCCGAGAGCAGATTGGGCTTCCGCCCGCCCCCTGAAAAGAAGGGAAGGGGAAAAGCCGCTCGCCACTTGAAGTGGCAGGAAGGCGCCTGACGCAGATTGCAAGCTGGGTGTGCAAAGACACCCACCTTCCAGGACCTTCAGCGCAGACGATGGGCACGGCTCCCAGTCGGGCACACGCTGACATGGACTACGAATCCGTGGATCTGGCGCGTGGGCGCCAGATCCAAAGGGTCGGGGAAGGCAACCCCCGAAACGTGGCGCCTGTGCCGCCGGATTTGGTGACGGAGCGCGACGAGCTCGTATGGAAACGGGACCCGTCGCTGGTCCACGTGCCTCAATGCACAGTGTGGGCGCGGCCGCAAGAAGCCCTCGCAAGAAACCCAACCCTGAGAACCCGTGCGCGAGGCGCACCTGAGGGGAAACCTGGAGCACCCTGAACGCAGCGGCTCCCTCCACGGCAGCGGGAAGTCTCGACCTCTCTCGACCGTTTCCAGCGCGGGGCCCCCTCCGAGGACCCCTCGGCCGCCGTCCCCGCTGGGGAGGTCGGCCCGCCGCCCACGGTGGGGACGGCCGGAGCAGCGCAGCAGGGCAAGAGGCGGGGGCGCTGCGCGGCAGCAGACGCGTCCCGCCACAACTGGGGGGCCACTTGCCCCCCTGGGGGACCCCACCTCATCGACGATCGTTCGAGGGGCGCTCCCTGGCGCGCGCAGCGAGCGCAGGGATCGGCGCCATGGCGCGCGCAGGGATCGGCGCCAGCTCCCTGGCAGTGCGCCAGGGAGCGGGGCCCAGCGCCTCTCCAAGGAAATCCGCGCGGACCTCCGAAGGTTTACGCATGTCGACGCCATTTGCCCTTTTACGATCTTC